TTTTTTTTTTGGCGTCACATCCATGTGATTGCAAGGTGAGTATACGTATCATTTCACGTTAATCGAGTGCGTGTTCACTTTGCTTGCGAAGATTCTATATTTTTCAAAAATTTTCAACTTCATCTATATTTGATTTTCCACGTGTTGCTGGAATCGTGAGAGTGATGCGAACGTCTTCCACTGCGAAACTTGGCTATTGCGAAAATGTACAACTTTTTTTGCAGGAAAAATCTGTGGAGGCAATCATATCAATGTGAAATGTGCGCGCAGATTGTCGAACAAAGAAGATTGGAACTTAACTATTTTGTGTTCTGGGTGGAATGATGTGTTGCCGTGTATGAGGAAGTTATTTTCGAAATGTTTTATTATTTTTCCCTTGTCTCCCTCTGATGTCTTGGAAATGGATTGATATCAAGGATAATTGTCAAAAAGTGATTTTATTTTGGCTAATTATCAGTGCACTTTGGAACACACACGAGATACATGGACGGATAATTTCATCAGATAAATTTCTAGACGGCCTAATTCTCGTCACGTTCCAATTCGTCCAGAACAAGATCAGTGAAGTCCGTCGGATTCTTCTTGTACTTCATTGCCATCGAGATCGCGTCTGTAAACAACTGTAAGAAAACTCCCTTATCACCGAGCAGCAAGTGAAATATGAAAAAAATGGGGGCACATGATTTGAGGGTTGGTTCATGCCATTTAAAATGAATCATTTGTTGAAATTCTGTTTGATGGAGATATTTTTTCACAGAGTAGATGTACTGTCAACCATATCTCTGACAAATTTTTTTACAACGATTTGATACAAACTGAACTTTTTCATAATAAATTCATATGATTGAATTAATTTAATTTTGGACTTTGCACTGCAGAAGTGCACCAGAGAGAAAAGATTTTTCTGAGCCTTACAAGAACATGAAAATGCAAAAAATTCGATTCAAACCTTCACAACATTTGTTCCATTCGACGCAGAAACGTAGTACATGGGAACCTTGTGCTTTTCGGTGAAGTTGAACGTTTTTTCCGTTACTTCCATGTTTGCTGCATCAACAAAACACGCAAGCTTTCATTAATACCGCGTGAGTGATCAATAATGAATCAATCCAGAGAAAACTTACTGTCGATTTTGTTCACCGCACAAACGCACGGTATTTCAGGACGGTATTGTCGCATTTCCTGGTACCAGTTGGTCAAATTTTTATAAGTCACTTTCCTCGTTGCATCAAACACAAGGATACACGCATGCGCCTGGTAATAGTACGACGCGTGCATCGACTGAAATATTTCCTGTCCAGCCGTATCCCAAAAATCTAACGAAAAGAAAGTCTCTTTTTTAAAAATGCAACGCATCTAATTGGGTATAATTACTATAAGCCCCGTAGCAACCATGTCAGTATATGTACAAGCCGCCATGAAGGGAAACTGTTACACAAAAACATACGCAAGACTGAGTCAAATGCCTTTCATCAAATGTTTCAAAAATGGGGAATGGCGTGATGAGAACAAAGAACAGTTGAACAACCAAAAATTTGCGGAAGAAAGACGTTGATTCCGATTTTGTAACTCAAACGGGAAAGTTAATCCGATCACATAAATACAGTTTGATAATTGACTTGAAATAATAAGTGTGGCCTATACTCAAATACGAGGGTTGATTTATAGGTATTCATACGGTATTATTTAATAGCAAAAGACGCAAATTTACTTAGATATAAGAAGCAATTGAAAGACGCACCTGCACTTTCGTGAATCACATACAGTACAAAATTGTGTCCGCAAAATATGAGCATTTTCATCAGTCATTCTAAGCCCATTTTCTCGAAAATCAGGCAAGTCCGTCAATTCTAAATTTCTAATCAAGCATTCATGCTTCATTTACAATCTAAATTACAAAATTGTGTCCGCAAAATATGAGCATTTTCATCAGTCATTCTAAGCCCATTTTCTCGAAAATCAGGCAAGTCCGTCAATTCTAAATTTCTAATCAAGCATTCATGCTTCATTTACAATCTAAATTAATTCGAACATTCAAGTAAATCAAGATTTTAAAATGTTGCGCCCTTCAACACAATTTTATAGATCCGTTTCTGAAGAAGGTTATATTAAGTGTGTTTCAGCACTCAACTATTACTTCTTAGTGCTTATTAAGTGGTCCTTTACAGCCCTGTGGTATAAATTTATTAGTGTAAAACACTTTTTCCCCTAGATACAGTCTATTAGACACAGCAGTAACAAACACTTAGCTCACCAATCAGAACTTTTTCTCCATCCACAACAGTTCTGTGGCGATATAACGTCAAGGCGTAAGTTGAAAGTTGTTGCGGCTGGAAGCCATCCATCAAGTATCGCTCAACCAGCCTTGAAACAAAAGACAAATCAAATTGATTCAACGCAATCACGGGGAAATATTTATAAAAGAACGCGAATAAACTTCGCGTATCAAATTACAAAATACGAGGCTTCAATTACACTAAGGAGGAAGCAAGACTTCAAATTCGGAACGGGGTCAAACTACAGGGTGTCCCGAAACTAAAACATACTAGGGCTATGATAAATCATAAATAATGTATATTTGCAATAAATTTCATTTCAAAAAACAGAAGTCAACTCAAAGTTTATTTGCCTCTAATTTCTAGTGCGCAAAACATGAGCAAATATCGATTTTTCGGGTTCTGATTTATTCAAAATATTGAGAATAAATTTGCTTCGGAATTTTTCGATCAATTCAAATCGGTTTTTAGCCTAAATCACAAATTTCTATGCTCTTCTTCGAATATTTTATTCACAATAAAAAAATTCAATCCAAGAAAAAATTAATACATTATCCTCATCGAAGTTCGTTTTTTTTGGAAACCCACCATAAGTATTTGAAGTCAAATAATTGTAAAAAAAAAAAAAAACTTGTTGAGCTTCACTCGAGTCTTAATTTTCGCCGTAAATTCGACATAACTACATTACTGTATCTTTCTGTACACTTTTAAAATCCAAAAATCGCTGCAACATTTTTTAATCCTTCGAGTAAATTATTCCCAATTTTCAAACCCACTGGAAATGACGTTCATTGCGTCAATTATTTCACAACAAAAGAGTTCCACGTGTCTTCAACAAAATATGCATGAGTCACGTTTACGCGGACTTTCGAAAAAAAAAAACAATAACAAATCAAACCCATGCTGGGACAAAGGGACCCCTCATGACTCACCCAGGACAACCTTATCGCTTATTGTGGGCAACCCAAAACGTGCGAAACACGACGGACATTCCAAGCTGTACCCGGGCCACTGCAAAAAGCTACACGCTGGCACATGCACAATGATTCACATCCAAGGTATATTAAGAGCCCTCCGACGCTCCAAGCAGGTATTCAAAGCCAGTGCAGAAACTGAAAACAAAACCAAAGAACGTGAAAAAAAAGTTGACTCTTCAATCCTTGGAACATTTTTAAAACGTCACATATTGTCGCTCAAAATGGGTCTGGTCATGAGTCGTGTTTGGGAAATAATTTTCAGCTCGTTTAAGAAACCCTGCCGGATTTTGATGATCGGTCTGGACAATGCTGGTGAGTTATTCAAATGAATCGGCGAATTTTTTGTTATCCGTTACCGCAAATCCTTATTTTTGATATTTATTTTATTCGTTTCTTCAGGTAAAACAACGATTCTGTACAAAATGAAGTTGAATGAACTGGTCACGTCCATCCCGACAATTGGTTTCAACGTCGAATGCATTGATTACAAAAACCTGAACATGACGATTTGGGACGTTGGAGGACAGAAAACCATACGAGCTCTTTGGCGCCATTATTACCAAAATACACAGGTATGATTTTCACGCAAATATTTAGCGAAACATCGGCATTTCAAGACTTCAAATAAAATTTT